ATGCCAGGTCCTTAGATTCACTATAATCAATCCAATCATACAAATCAAACCATTTTTTGCAAAATCTACGTCTTTGATTACCTTGAACAGACCAAGGGTAAACAAAATTGTAAGGAGGTTTATGACGACCTATTTTTAAATAAGCTTTCCTTACCTCATTTTGGATGTTAGGATGATAGCTTGAAATTGGAGGCCTAATTTCTGGATCGGTTTCCAACAATTCATAATCGACAACTTTAATACTCTCACTTGGATGTTGAGTTTCCGATGCTTCTAGATTTACCGAAGAAGTAGCTTTGTCTCTAGAAAGCACAGGAAAAAATTTCTTCATCCTATAAAGAGAACAATGAAACCATTAAAATTAGCTATTCACTCTATAAAGAAAATAATAAGAACAATTTATTGTAAAGAAAATATTTATGAGAAATTGAAAATTTACTTTTTTAAAACAAATTGGGGTTTTAGGGTTCAACTCAAATAGAACAAAAGAATAAGAAAATTTTGAAGTAGTTAGTTTACCTTTGATTTTCAATCACCCATAAACAATGCAAAATGGTGGGGTTGTTGGATTAATGAGAGAAAGAGACAAATATGGAAGTTGGTGGGGTTTGAGAAGAAGAGAAAGGGTTTACTGTGTGAGAGAGAAAGAAATAAAAGAGAGAGAAAATTAAGAGATAAAAGTGAGTTGAAGAGTTATATAATATTAAATATTAAAATTAATTAATTAATTAAATATATATTAATATTAGAAAAAAAAATCTAGTGTGGCTATAGCCACACCTAGCCTAAACGTGGATCCGCCCATGTGTGCGGTAGGCTGCCTTGCACGCCCTCAAAGACGTCCCTGTTATTTAGTTATTGTAAATATTTAACATAATTATAAATATAAATAAAACTTGATTTTAAAACAGGACACCAAAACTTAAGAAAAATAAAAATATGGGGATCAAAATTATAATTAAGCTAAAAAACAAACATAAAAAGATCAATCTGCCAGATTAAGAAACCTACTAATTCATCCGTCTAACCAGTGAATCGATTAGGTCACACCAGTTTTCACCAGATCAATTGCAAATATGGTTCAATGACTTTACCGAACCGCTCTACCCTTTGTTCACGGTCTAACCGGTTCGACCGGCCGAAACGGTTTGGGTTTTAAAACTATGCCAAGGATTAAGATCTCCAAAGTTGGACAAAAAATATTTCAAAATGGAAGAGAATTAATTGTTTGAAGTTAATTTTAATCAAAACAAAGAGAAAATAGCAAAAAATTCTAATCATAACCTTTAAATTTTGAAGAAAAAAATATGTGATAGAAAATATTTTTAGCGATTTATGAAAAAAAATGGAGTGAAAAAGGTTTTTGGAGCTATTTAAAAATAATATTGAAATAAAATGGAATAAAATGAAATAAAAAGAAAATAAAATATTGCAACAATCAGGTAGCGTGTCACGATGTGATTGGCCAAGATATTTGAATTTGGAACCAAAACGCCCGGATCAACTTCATCTTCAACCTCTTGCGCTCAATTTTCAGGTTCATAAACTTTGAGATTTGAGCTCAAACACCAAACTTGCAAGCTCCCTCACATGTAATTGTTTATGTCTCTTTGCATCAGAGCATTTTATTTTTTCTAAGCAGAGAGAGTTTACATAAATACACAGAAACCCTAAAAGCTTCAAAGTAAAATTAAATTCCAAATATGAAGAATAAACTCAAGGTGAGTGATGGATTTTTATCAGTGGAGCAAGATGAATAGATTGGTAACTTCTTTGATCAGAAATGTTACTTAGATCTACCTGTTTGAAGTGAGCTTCAGAGGTCAACAATGGTGGATTCGAGTTGAGTGTTGCAAGGTACAACAAGCTTCAACAATGCTTCACACGGCTTCAGAGGATTCTAGTGAAGGGTTTTGGGCAAAGAAATGAAGTGAAAACGAGCTTGAATTGAAAAAACTAATTTTTGGTTTTTAGAGGTATCAGGTTGAGATTTTTGTAAAGTTTCGGAGGCTATTCAAGCTTGCTAATCAAGGAAAATGATGCTTTATTTATAGGAAAGGGAATGAGGTCATGGTACGTGCCAATTTGAGATCTCAAATGTATGAATTCATTCTAGAATTCTTTGATTTTTTAATCGTGTGAAGTAAGGGTGAAAAGCATGACCCAGGCCTTGAAACAAGTCGTTTTACACTCAATTGGGTGTGTTTTGCAAAGACAAAGTGTGTGCACATACATTGGTGGTCCCAAGTTAAGTTTTTTTGAGTTTTAGTTTTAGGCCATGTGCCAAAAACTAGAGGTGAAGTCATCTTGTTGGAGCTGAGGCCAAATGAAATCCTCACGTGTGTTTTGTGATTTATCTTGATCCAAATGATCCTTTCATGGAGTATAACACAATGCAAAAAGAACTAAGACAAAAGGATGTTTGAGCTGAAAATGGCATGCTTGAGAAGTTAAGGTCGTGACACTGATTTGCAGGTCTGGCATTAGCTCAAACATGTCATGACCCTAGTTTTATGCATAAATGGCCTTTGAGTAATTTCAAAAAATGATAGGCTTAGAGACTGAATTGGCATTGGACCCTTGAAGCAAAGTTGTAGAGGACATTAAAAGAAACATTTGGCTCAAATAAGACCTTAAAAATGTTGAGAAATGAAGAATTTTGAGGTCACCCAACCATGTTCTAACTTGACTTTTCTTGATTTTTCTTGCATCCAAAGGCTCAATGCTGACCATATGAAGACAAAATGAAGGTAGCTTGAATTTGATTTGAATACCCTTGATATTTGTTTGAGAAATTGGTGAGAAAGGGCATGGAAATAAACACACAGACCCATCTTGAATCCACTTGAAAATATTCATCAAACTTGAACTTCTTTTGATTAAACCATGTTGAATGAACCTTGAGATGAAAGAGTCATAAGACAAACCCAAAGGTTAGAAGGATACCATGTTTGTGATCTTGATGAAATGAAAATGTTGATAGGTGGAATCTTAGGGATAAAAATTAGGGTATGCCACATATATAATTAAATAATCATGATGTATTTGAATGGTTGACAATACTTAATGTTATTGATGATGGTTGTAAATAACGTGTGTAATTGATTATTATATGATTATGCTACCATTGTATTGTCTTACACAACTAACATATTTTGACTGTATTCTCATCCTTTTTTATTTATTGTGGCGTTTGTACTCCTAAGGGGTACAGACGAGCAGGTTAAGGACTAGTTGCTTGAGGTAAATGATAGTTTCAAGGCCTCACTAGGGACGAGTTGTTCTTTGTTTTTCCTTATTACATGTTTTATTTTATTTTGGAGTTGTTTAACTAATTTTGGTTATTGTGTGATTGATGAGAGATTTATGTTAAACTTATATTTTTTCTCTATGTATTTCAAAAGATTAATTTATTTTGGTTTATATGATTGGTGAATCATGTGTGACACTCTAATTGATTGGGTTTATTTACTGAATTAATGTATTTTATGTCGAGTTAGGAATTAAGGTGTTACATTGAGCATGTTTCTCAACATTTATAATGATCATGTAACCTCTTAATAGGTTGAGGTGATAAGTTTGAAATGGATTTATCATTTTTGTGGTTTGAACCAACTCTTGTATCAAACGATTCGCAAATGATTCACAGAGAAGAATTTACGATGGTAGTTTTTTGTTCCCTTGAAAGGGAGAGTATTCTAAAGTTGACTTGAGATTTAAGGTGGTACACTTTTTAGAGGTTGAAAAATTGGAAAACTATGATTAACCATCTAGTTAATTGGATTGTTTAGTGCTTATCTATTTAAAACTATTTTTACTAACCCTTTAGTTGTGTTTGCCAAAAGTTGATTTGATAACAAAGATCTTGGAATATGTTTGGTTTAACCTTTGAGGAGAGGAAATGGTACTAGATTTAACAATAATAGGAGAGGTCGCATCAATGCATTTGCGGTTCAAAATTGTAAAAGGCACTACAAGAAAATTGGCAGATTGCGACAGGTATTTTTGTAGATTACGACGGTTAAAACCGTCGCAATTTGCTTTCCATGACGGTTGCTTTACCGTTGCAGAAGTGTGTGTCCCCAACCTATTTCGCGACGGTTACAAAAACTGTCGTTCAAGTTTACGACGGGTTTGGAGCTGACATAATCAAGTATTGGTGACTGTTTGATACCGTCGTGACTATCTTTTGAGTTTCTTTTAATTATTGATGGCGACGGTTCGATACTGTCGTGAATATCTTTTGAAATTGATTAAATTGTTTATGGCGACGGTTCGATACCGTCATGACTTTTGTTGATTATTTTTAATTGTTGATTACGACGGTTCGGTACTGTCGCCATGACTTTTGATTATGTCTTGATTTTTTATTATTTTTCTATTATATATATTTTTTATTTAAATTATTATCTATGTAAAAAATTTTAAATATAGTTTTTTTTTGTGTTATTTTTTTCTTTAAATTATTTCTTCTTTAATATATTTATTTATAGTATTATTTTTTGTTTTATTTTCTATCACTTTGTAATATAGTAAAAATAATTTCAATAAAAAAAATATTTAACATCAAATAAGCATTATAATATCCAAAAAAATGTGTGTTCCATAATCATGTAAAATGCGAGTTCCATAATCATGTCAAGTAGTACAAAAAACCCAAAATATATCAATTCCTAATCTTATAATAATAAGTATCATTATGCCAAAAATACATGAGAAAGTTCACAATCTAATTATCTCGATCATAGCAAAGTCTAATTTGTCCCCCCTGAAGTTCCATTATCTCCAATACGGTAGCTAGACTCAGATGAACGTCTACCATCAGCGGGTGATTCCAATCCCTAAAAAAAGGTATTAAAATAATAATCTTTAAAATAATACTCATAAAATTTAACTTTAAATGCGTCAAAATAATATACCTGTCTTCCACTAAAATTTTGCATTTGCATTAAGAGTTCAATTTCCTTTGTCCTCGCCTTGTCCCTTTTAGGGTTTAGGGTTTAGGGTTTAGGGTCGTCGGGATTTGGATCCGTCAGCAACGAGCAAATTGACAAAAGGACCTAAAATAGTGAATGTTAGGTTTATTTTTTGTGAGATTTAGATCAACAGCAGACAACATCATCATTCCAAACGAAGCTCATTAAAAAAGGAGAAAAATAACACATTCAATTTCCAGCAGTAAATTTCTATGAATTTTATAATCAGCTTATATGAAGATGACAAACTATATCTCTAGTCAACAGAATGAATAGATATTTATATTAGCCACTTCTGCACTTGAAATATTAGTGACCTAATTTTTCTCTTACGAAAAAAATCTTCTAAAAAGAATTACAATTCTTGTGTTTTAAAAATATCATTTTTTTTGTTCTAGATTTTCAAATTTCCCAAAAAAAATTTAAAACCAGCACAAGTAGTATGAAACACATAAAAACATCAATGAGATTACAGCAGTAAATAACAATAGAAATGATAAGAGTACAAAAAGTCATGGATAGACAAATTTTATATGTGAAAATAAGCCTCATTCCTTGATAAAACTGTATGCTTCAATTGAATTTCCAAACAATTAGCAAAGTTTGTGATTCTAAATTTCAGTAGGCGAACACATTTAATAGTCAGAATTTGTATTTGTCCAATATTGGCAAATGCAAGTAAATTAGCTCAAAACGTGACAACACATTTGTCCAATATTTTTCACATTTGCAAATCATTCTAAAAGGCAACACAACACAATCCAGGTGTCACATTTAGCTAAAACTTGATACATAATCATCAATTATCAAGAATAACAAGTAAAATCAAACCTTAGAAATGGTCAATGCTGGGCTCCATTGTTCTTTTAGAATGTCAAGACAGATGCTTCCATTGCTGTTGATGTTTGGGTGGAATACCTTAGTCCTAAATGCAACCTGCAGTATTAAAATAACTTTAGCATGTTTAGACTATTTAACTAAATACATGGTACAAGATATTTACAAAATTGATTAACAGGCAATAAAACAACATTTATAACTTGTGAACAAATTAAACTGGATAACTAACTGTCAACTATTGAGGAAAGAAGAAAATGAAAGAGAACAATACGATTTGATGAGGAAAGAAGAAAATGAAAGGCAAAATATAATTGAAATGAAAAGTCATCTAACAGCTTCTCTGTTAGTTTTTCCAACGCCAATAGAAGATTGTGAATTAGTGATAAATAATCAGATTTATAACTGTTGGCTCCTAAATTCGACACCTTTGTTTTGTTGATGTCAGCCATTTAAGCTGAAGGATGTTTTCGACTGGCTAAGTCTGTCGAAATGCCCGTCGAAAGATGGCAAAATACTTAGAAGATTTCTTCCAAGGGAGAAGTTGGTTGCCTTCGACGTCGAAGGAGTTTCTCGTCGAAGATGTCTTTCGACGAAAGTGTTTGATGGTTCAGAGTGGAGCAGTTGGAATTTCAAGCTTTTGGAGGGAAAACAGTTTCCAGCAGTTACCACGTGTAGCGTGCAAAGATCTGGAGCGTCGAACGTTGAGAACGTGCCAAGTGGAATCATCTCGAAGCAGTGTAACTGCCCGACGGTTACTTGGGATGTTTTAGTATAAATAGTGGTAGTCATGTAAGATCTCGCGTGTGTTCACAATTTTATACAAAGTCACTCATATAGATTCGAGTACCCAGCGTGTGAGAAAGAATTGTTGAGAAATGTATGTGTGAAACACCAATTTTATTAATCAAAGTCATTTACTTTTCCAGAAATTTACTTGCTTTCCTCTTTACATTCCTGTCGAAACCTTTTACTTTAAGCCTTGTTTATTTTACCAAGTCCTTTCTTCATGCAATTTACTTGAAACCTCTTTATTTCATTTAAAGCCTCTTTATTTAAAGCCTTATCCAATTTAATCAAAACTTCAAAATCAACCTATGTCCTAGGATCAATCTGATCGATCCTGCGAGTAACCAAATAAGTAACCATTTGGAGGATCAGCGGTTGTTTACCAAATCCCAAGGTAAACAATAACCAACCAAAACTAATAACCATGTGATGTTTTCTACCTTCCAATACAGCAAAAGCTAGTAAATATCCACATGCTACAACAAAAGACAAATATAAAAGCGTGTTCGAGGGCAAGAGGCACAAGCAGCACAAGCCCAAAATGTGAAGGTGCAAACTTATTTTGAATTGCGGAGTCTAATCGATATTCTTAGGGGAGCAAATATGCAATATATCTATTCATATTTAATGTGCAATACAAGCTTGGCTTCCTTTAACCTGGCGTTTGCATTTATTCAAAAATAACACACTCACTAGAAACAACAACAAAAATGGTCATGGTCGGATTAACAAATCGTACAAAAAAGAAACAATCATGCTACAGAGTACATATAGACAAGATCTGCCTTGAAGCATTTGAAAAACAAACAAACGAACAAATCACAATAAATTATAAACATCATAAAAACAGACAAAACAAACAAGCAACTAACGTAGAAACAAGTAACGGTTCAATTACCTTTGGTGGCTTGAATGGATAATCCGGCAATGGTGTGAATGAAGGAAAGGCCACATGGTATACTGTAAAACCTCACAAGCACTATATAAACCCCTATATCATACACAACTATAACTATAACTCCCCTTAAGCCATAGTAGCTATACATTACAGCAACCAAAATCAGCATTGATATATATATATATATATATATATATATATATATATATATATATATATATATATATATATATATATATATATATATATATATATATATATATATATATATATTAATTTACAACTAACTAATCTCAGCAATATCAGAGCTAAACAAATCAATATGTCCTAGTAGTTGGCAGCAGATGTATTCAAAATCATAGCAAAACACAGAAACAGCCTTGTAATTATTAACGAAAGGGTCGTAACCAAATGCATATGTTAGTGTTCCATGATCTTGTGGAATTTCTAAAGAGGGTAGTTTCTTTAGTTTTCTAATGGAAGGGTTCCAGAGAACAACATGATAATTATTGGCTAAACAAATGAGACCATCACATGATGCAATTATATCATCACAGTAGTCTGGATCAATCGGAGAACAAACGAGTTGTGTGGCGTTTGTGGTGAAAAGTAAAAAGTGGTATTGATGGTAAGAACCCCTAAGGTTGTACTATTCAATTAAACATCACATATATGCATTTGAAATGAAAATTAACAGAGTTTCCATGTAGTGGATATGCAAAATCAATAGCATCCAGTTTACATATGTTGCATTAATTACTCTATTCAACTTTAATCATTATATTCAACATTCACACGTTTACCTATTACACTATACGGTACGTTAATGCTTTTCGGTTTCTTATAGGATTTTCGTTTTCAATATAATTTGCATCGATTCGAGTCTGTTTTCTTATCTTGTTTCAGCAGCAGCAAATTATAGGATTTTAAAAGAAATTGAAGTTCTGTCAGCTATAGATGTGGTAAGGGCTGCCATGCTTATCACCAAAGACAATAATCTACTGGATTGCTTTTTCACTATGGATACTCTTGAATTGAGGAAGGAATTTGTGAAAATTATTTTAACTACCAATAGTTCTTAGTAGCATTTTGAATGTTTAATGCTTTTATTATTTAGTAAAATAAGATCATGTGAACATTGTCTTTATTGGTTTTATTACTTAGTTTCCTCTGCCTTTACACTAGTGTTCTGTCTGTTTTAATCATATGCATTGTGTTGTTTACGTTCCTGTGTGATTCTGCTACTAAATATTGATAAGTTTTAAGACAAGAACTTTGTTTAATATTGCAATATTGATACTTCTCATTGAGTATACATAGATATACTATCAACTATGTCAAAACCTCGGATGCACTGTGTTGTTCATGTTTCTATTTGGTCTTGCTACTGATTTTTTTTATTATGCTTAATGTCAATTTATTATGCAAGTAAAAAATGCAGGAGGAAATATATGAGATGCGTGATTAAGTTAATGGTTGTATGAATGCATTGAGATAACCTGCGCATGAGAAAATAACAATTCTCAAGTAGAGTTTGGTGATAGTATGAATGCATGTTAAACGGGGTAAGAAAAAATACATAAACGATACTGCAGTGCCAATTAAGACATGCTGAACTATTGATGATACATACATATCTTTTAATGTACATAGACTAAAATAAATTTAAGATCATACTGCAACTTTTTGTGTTATTTTTATGACCCATACTAGTTAATAACATATAAGGATACGTTTCACACATTAATTTGTTAAGTTTTCAATTTGAGCTTGAGAACATTGACTCGAAGATAAAATCATTCATGTTATATAATCCAATAGCTTCACAATAAAGCATTTGTATTACAGATTGAACCAGATTGAACCAGTGACCATTCAAATCTTCTCTTCAGGTTTGCTAGGTATTATTTCTCTATGTATGGTTTTATTTTACGAAAATTTGAAGTGTTTCAACGCGGTCTGGTACTTGAATATTAGTTGAACAAAAACAGATATGCATGCCTAAAAATTCAACTCATATTCCAACATTGTTTTTGTTGAACTGATGACACCGATTAAGCCACACCCTCGATCCAATGGACGACGTGGTCCATGAGTTTCTTAGAGTTATGAGTCGGTCTCTATAATTATATCTTTCAATAGGCTTATCATTTTCAACAAATAAGACATGTAGATCCATTATTATTTATAAACACATTCAAGGAAAGGTTCTTCGCTCTTCAAGACTAAATTTTTAAAGAGGCAGTTATGAACTGATAAGTAACAATATTACAAAGCCAAACTACATTATTATTTATAAGTATTAAAATTATCTGTCAAATAGAATCTGTAATTAGCTACGGCATAGTTATTTGGGGGTTCCTACTTATTCGACATAACAGACACACGTAGAACGACGTAAAATATTTGTTAGCAATAGAAAAGAAAAGAATTGAGGAAATGGAAACTAGGTAGTTAAGACTAAGAGATTTTAACAAAGTCTAGCAATGATTCGCTGATATTTCTTGAAGCAACGTACAAGTAAATACCTGAAAGTACAGTTTTTAAAGTTTGGGTTTAAATTCTTTAGTTGCATATTAATACCAAATTTTCAGGAGAGTAAACATAGTTATTCTATACTGAGTGTGGGATTAGCTTTGCATTATTTGGGAGTCATTTCATTTGTCAAGTGTAACTTTAGATTTTTCGGCAAGACAAACTAGAATCACCTATCAACATATAAAATATATATGTTTTGCTTCTCTTAGATGACAATCACCAAGACTATTTCTTGTCTAGTTAAGTATTAAAGTAGAATGTTATTGAATTTTTTCAGATCACAGTTTTGTGATTTCTCATAGATGAATATTCAGTAGAATTGCTAGAGCTATTAGTTGAATTTCTCAAGTGAAAATTGATTGAAATGAGTGAAGGGTGGTTAACTGACTGACGGCTGTCAAGCAGCTAGTTACAAGGGAAGCTAAAACAGTTATAGTTGATTACACTACAGGTGTTTTATATCATGAGGGAGACTCTATACAAGCTCTCATGAGCTTGAGTTAAGTTATATTAGCTTTATGCTTTCTTGTACAAGAATGAAAGCTCTGCTATGTCAGTGTTTATATTACGAAAGAAATGAAGTATTGATACTTGAGAGTTAGAAATCAACACAAAGCCTATTGAAATCAACACAAAGCCAGCTCAGTTATCTTTCATCAAGAGATTCAAACAAACCATGCAATGCTAATATGAGAAACCTTGGACAGATTCTAATCATAAGGTTTATAATTTCATTTGATCCATTAGTTAGATTCTAACATTTGCCAATAAAATATTATAATCAGAAAGTCTTACTAGATTTATCTTAGATTTCAACTTTGGCAGACACTCTGTATCAATAATCATCATAGCATTTGCTACAAAATAGTAGTACTACTTGTTACAGAAGTGAAAATATCATGATACAAAGGCAAAGAACAACATATATGTTCTCTAGTTAATCATAGAATTACTTGTTAAACAATACTAATAACGTTGAAAATGCAAGAGAGTTAAGAAAACATACCAAGAAAAGTAGAAGGAAATGCTAAACCAAACCTAGCAAATCAGGATGAAATGGTAGAAGTCCTGCAACCCAACCAAGGTTTAAGAACCCCAAAATCTAAAATAAGAATAAGAATTGAATTCCCAAACAAAGGAATCTAATTCAATTTCAAAAAGTAAAACCTTTGTTGCTAGCAAATATGACAGAAGCAACACAAGTCACTCAAATAAACATGCTTTGGTCAGAATCACACTCTGCAACAGAATATGATGCTTAAATGGTTATAAAGTCCTTTTACAACACCCACTAGGCACTATATAGCATAGCATATCAGAATTCTATAAACTCAGCCATACCTTGAGTTGAGCATTACAACAAACACTTGATGAGCATCATTTTAGTACTATTCTAAAAGAGTATAGAATACAATTATCAAAAGAAAATATGGGTTACTTACCATTGCCATATTAAACTATATATATATTTCTGAGGAAGTTCCTTCAGAAAAGAATAACACTGATGAACAAGCCAATGGAAATAATGGTGCCGCCAAGACAGATGAACAAAATCCCTCTGAAGTTGCTGCTGCTACTGAGGATAGTGATCAAAAGATGTCAGAAAATGAAAACCCTAAAACAACAAATTAGAAAACCTAACATCAATTCAATATATTCAAACTCAAAATCAATCATCACAAAGAGCTCAACCATAAGATTCAAGTGAATCTCCAATGCTGAAATCAATGGCAGAGAATGAGAGAGATGAGAACAATGCAAAAAGTGATACATAAAACTTACTGTGTTTGAAGAGATGAACGCAGAGGATGTTAAACTGCTTGCTGTGCGTTTTTTGGTGTGAAGATGAGCGGTTTGAAGAGATTCCTTTTGGTGTCAAGGGGTTTCTTTCGGTGTGAAGAAGAACGGCATGAACGGAACCGTGAGTAGAAAAAGTGAACGCAGGAGTAGAAAGTGAATGGATGTTTTATGAGCTTTTTAACTTTTTTACGGCGACGGGTGTTTTACCGTCGTGCCCATGAGAATTTTTAAAGGTTTTGGGTGCGACGGTTGTTTTACCGTCGTGAAATGAATTTTAGGACGGATAATTTTACCGTCGTGAAAGGTTTAAGGGTGCGACGGGTGCTTTACCGTCGTGATATTCCTTTTAGGACGGTTAATTTTACCGTCGTGACTAGTTGTTGGTGAAAAATCAATGTTAAAAGTGTTAAATGGGGGCCGACGGTTGTTTTACCGTCGCAAAATAAATATTAGGGACGGTTGGTGTCAACTGTCGTAAACACTGTCTCTATATGTCAATTACGAGTTATCACATAACTGTCGCAATTTTTGTGTCGTTAAACACTAATTTTCTTGTAGTGAGGGCAGATCTTTTAAAAGTTGCCAAAAGGAAGGAAAAGTTTTGCAGAACAACATACATCAACATCATCTCCTTAGAAAGAAGCCTTTGTAGCTCTGGAATATTTTGATTATGATATCCCTGAAACACCTTTTATCAAATATCTACTCCAAGATATCATTAAAATATAGAATAAGACACATAAGAAGATCAACTTCCAGGCTCATCACTTCACTATAGACATAGTGTATTTACCTCATAGGTTGTTCATGGATGATAATAAGGATATTGAATAGTGTCTCTCTTATGTGCTATTAGTACTTTTAATTTTAGTTAATTATTAAAGCATTTCCCTTTTCTAGTAAATCTCGTGTGATCTGTATAATGCTTTCTTTCTATCATTCTTTTCTCACATCTTTTTCCCGCCTTTTTATTATGCCAAAGAGGAAGAAGTATACTCTCAAAAGGATTAAAGTATATTATATACTCATGTAAGTGGAAGTTTAACCACTCCAAAATTTACCCTTTTGTTTTCTTTTTTTTACCAACTCCTTGAGAGATGTGTTGTCATCATTAAAAATGGGGAGAATATGGTTATATGTGCTTACATGTACTATCAAGGTGATATAAAGTAGTGAAGTTTGGTAATAGAAAATCTCCAACCCACTATTTGGTTTTGATGATAACAACACCTGATATCCAACGATATTAGGTGAAGCCCTTATCTCTCGAAGATAACTTAAGTAACCAAAAATGCTCTCAGATGTTTTATCAACTCATATTTTTGAAGTTAACTCTTTCATCAATGATGTTTAGGTAAATACTTTTGTTTATAGGTTCTCCAGTGGTTTTTTATCTCAAATCTCTAATTATGGTAGTCAAATTGAAGATATCTCAAACCTCATCAAGTTAGAATACTCAAAGTTCTTGAAGCCAAGACTTAAAGCTTTAGAATTGTGAAAGAGAGAAAGTGTGAACGCTCGTATAGTTGTGTCAACGTGAGTGACTAGTGTCTTGTAAATACACAAGGGTATTTCTGGAATTATAAAGGAAAAATCACGCACACTCTAAACCTTTGAGAAACCTCCCTTATTTTGTTAAAACCATTTGAAAATGTTTTGAAGACCTAGTCAATTGATTAAGGGAACTGTCTGGTCAATTGTGAGCCTTTCTACAATTGGATAACTAATTAGTCCTAAAGATATAATAGATTATTTTCACCTTGTAACCCTTATTATTGATTATAAAAAAATTAATGATTGGCAATGGTTGAATATCAAAACCTTTCGTTGGGGCTTGAACAATAGATTATTCATGTGTAATAATTGATTGGCATATTATGAGAGTTATTTTTCCCATGGATTATTTCCTAATTTAAAGCACATTTTTTCCTATAAATGGCGAGCTTCTCTATAATTTCAAATAACTCATAAAACAATATTTGATCATACTTCCTCATTCTCTCATCTTTTCTATAAATCTCTCATTTTC